GTGAGTGGAAATTGTTTACAACTATGTATTTATAAAATTAACTAGATACTATATAGCAATATATATATATATATATATATATATATATATATATATACACACATTATGCACATTGAGTAAATATTATTTGTATGTTTAAAGACTTGGCTTATTGTGACATTATTATAGTAATGTCTACACTGTAATTTATGCATTTTGTTGCATAAAATTAACTTAAAATTATTTTTCATTTTAAAATACTTACAAGTATGAAGTTTTATTACAAATTTTAAGGCATTTCTGTCATTAAGTAAAATACATTACAACATTGCATTGACATATTTCCATTCTTAACATTTATCTACTTTTTTTAATTCTCAGTGGGGAAATGGACGAAAATTACAAGCAGTGACTATCTTTTGAACTCTGTAAAATACTTTTTCTGATGAGTATAGTTTGGTTTTTTGCAAATAATCATTCTTTTTGTTGACAAATTTCTCAGGTTTTAATCTAGGTTTAGAAATAGTTACTTATCTGAAAAAGGCTTATGTTGTCAAATGCTGCACATTTGCAGAATACTAACAAGTGAAAACGTATATTTGTTATTTTGAAAAATGTCTTTCTGAAGAGTTAAGTGTTTGGAATTGTCATCATGGCTATAAATCGTCTGTAGAGTAAGTTTCCCTTGAACATTTTAGAATATGTTTTTTAATTTTCTTCAGAAGTTTAGCATTGACATGAGCTTATTTTTACATGACAAAGTATACTAATTCTACAATCTCATTGTTAATGGGTATGAGATATGTTAGTACTTTATACATAAACTAATAAAATTATGTATAATATTTCCTTATTTCATCAATCGCTTAGATAATGGTATTATTAAGAAATGAAAGTTGCTTTCTCAGCTTTAAGTCTCACAATGTCCTGAATAATAAAGAGCTTGTAAAAGTGTTACACTCATTGAACATTTGATGAAATAGAAGTTGTTGAAGGCACTGAATTGTGATGCATATTAAACTCTTCCCTCTCAACCGTGTATGTGTAAAATATGAAATATATCCATCGATGTAAAAATATAACTTCTATCACAATAAGTAAGTAATCAGTTAAATCAGGAATATAGAAAGGTATATCTAGTTTAAAGGTAACAAGTTCAAAAAGAGAGCAAGTGGAACACACCGTAGTCCTGAAATTGGCAGGACAATCCTGAATAAGGGGTGATGTCTTGCATCAGAGACCAATTGCCCATAAAGCACATGTGCACTAAAAAGGTGCAATCTTTATTAAGAGCATCCAGCCTATCTACAGAACCTTTTAACAGCACTTTGTGCATGTGCTACCATGACCAGAGCCAACCTGCATATTTTTCAGTATTTGTGCATCACAGCGCACAACTGCCACAGCTCCTGTAGACACACCTGACAGTAGGTTGGCCCAACCTTCCAATTGTGGGATGTTTGTTTGAGGATCACAACATTTCTGCTTTAGAATTGGAGACCAAAGAAGAAAATTCTAAAGTAAATTGTTTAATTTGAAATGTCCTTTTATTTTATGATATTTCTTTGAATTTATATTGATTTTAGTAAAATGGAAAAAAATATGGGATATAGTTTTTAGCATTTGCTTGTACTATGTAAATCTTTTTGCATTAACGAATAGTATTGCAATTGCTAGAGACACTTAGTATTTTAACACATTGAAATGCAAAATTATGGCTTTGTGGCCATGCCTACTAGTAAAAGAAAAACACTTCCTACAGTATACCATTTAATCATAGTATTAATGGGAAGTATTGTTTAGCATTGTTTTGCCATATTACAGGTGATACTCGAAAAATTAGAATATCGTGCAAAAGTTCATTTATTTCAGTAATGCAACGTAAAAGGGGAAACTAATATATGAGATAGACGCATTACATGCAAAGCAAGATAGTTCAAGCCGTGATTTGTCATAAGTGCGATGATTATGGCTTACAGCTCATGAAAACCTCAAATCCACAATCTCAGTAAATTAGAATATTACAGGCAATCAATAAAACAAGGAGTGTACATAGAACAATATCGGACCTCTGAAAAGTATAAGCATGCATATGGACTCAGTACTTGGTTTGGGCCCCTTTTGCAGCAATAACTGCCTCAATTCGGCGTGGCATGGAAGCTATCAGCCTGTGGCATGCTGAGGTGTTATGGAAGACCAGGATGTTTCAATAGTGGCCTTCAGCTCTGCATTGTTTGGTCTCATGTCTCATCTTTCTCTTGGCAATGCCCCATAGATTCTCTATGGGGCTCAGGTCAGGCGAGTTTGCTGGCCAATCAAGCATAGTAATCCCATGGTCATTGAACCATTCTTTGGTGCTTTTGGCAGTGTGGGCAGGTGCCAAGTCCTGCTGGAAAATGAAGTTAGCATCCCCATAAAGCTCGTCTGTGGAAGGAAGCATGAAGTGCTCCAAAATTTCCTGGTAGATGGCTCTGTTGACCCTGGACTTAATGAAGCCCAGTGGACCAACACCAGCAGATGACATGGCTCCCCAAATCAACACAGACTGTGAAAACATCACAATGGACTTCAAGCATCTTGCAGTGTGTGCCTCTCCATTCTTCCTCCAGACTCTGTGTCCTTGGTTTCCAAATAAGATGCAAAAATTGCTCTCATCATAAAAGAGGATGCCTAGTTGTAAAAGCAAAATCGCTAGTCAGACCGCGGCTGAATAAGTGCAGCAGCAGAGGAATGTCAAGCTAGGCGTCCTGAGCCCCTGACGCGCGCGTTTCGTCTGGGTTACTCATCATCCCCTCTGATGAGGCTTACTAGTATCCCACTTTCCTATTTAGAATTCAGTTACATTGTTCATAGCAAGTAGTTTTACTTTACACCAATACGTATTTCTTTGAAGCAACATTTCTCTCGCTTTTGGTTCTATTGGAGGTTTTATACCTCAACTAGTTTATAGGACATATTATTTTGTAGCCTTGTGCTTTTTGTTTTGTTTTTATCTTTTCTATTTTTACATTTTAATATATCCATTAAAAGTTATTTTTTATGCTCATTTCATTGTGACTATATTTACCAAAATGTTGAGACACTTTATGGTAGTTTTTTTTTCTTTTCTTTATGCATGTAAATTCACCATTTAGGGGTTACCTCCCATTTTTTTCTACCTATATTCGTGCCTCATATTTATATCTAGGCTCTCCTTTTTTCCTTTTTTAGTTATTTACTCCTTGTGAAAGTCCCAGGGCCGGATTAACATAGGGGCTGATGGAGCTTTTTTTTTTTTTGCTTTTTTTTTCACACACTACTCTTAGGGATTCCACCTTGCTTTTATTTTATTGGCAGTATTTGATGCTTGGGAGTGTTTTAGTGTTTTTGGTCGATATGATTCTTTAATTAGGCCCGTCATAATTGTCAGCACCAGGCCCACTCGGCTGTTAATCTGGCCCTGGAAAGTCCTCAACACATTTGAATGGCCTTTGCCTGACAATCCTCTCCAGGCTGCGGTTATCCCTGCTGCATGTGCACCTTTTTCTTCCACACTTTTCCCTTCCACAGTTTCTCTGAAACTGCTATGTTTATATAAAAAAAAAGGGGGTTAACCCTAGCTGGACCTGGCACCCAGACCACTTCATTAAGCTGAAGTGGTCTGGGTGCCTATAGTGGTCCTTTAACCTATACAGCCTACTACACAGGATACAAGGCTGCCATACAGGATACTTTGTATGCATTGTAGGCTACAACCTTTCTCTAGTGTTACTGTAGCAAATCTACATAGCAAGTAGAAGACAGTATCGTTCTGTACAGATATACAGCTGAGTTTTTGATTACCACTCCTATCTCCCCCTCTACTTCATTTACCACCACCTAGTCCTACTCACCCACTCTCCCCCATCCTACTGCCAGTCACTTTGTGGTTACTTTTTATTAATTTTTTATTATTTCATTTTGGTTATTATTATTTCTCTCTTACTTAATGTTTCCAATAAAGGTTGAAATTGTATAGGACATTTTTAATCAATTAGGGATCCTCATAGGGTCCTCCTGACTTTAGGTCATTTGGACTTTCCTTTATCTATATACAATTATAGGGTTAACCCCTAATTGGATCCCTTTACACACCACACAAGTCTCTTTTTTTAGGGGACTTTTTGTTTGTTTATCTTAGAACATCATTCTTGCCAATGTGTCTCTTTATTCCAGCGACAAAAATGTACAGCACTTATAATTCCAGTCTTTGACAATCTTTAATTAAAAGCAAATATTTGAAATATGTATTACTTTATTATCCTGCTCTATTTATTGCCACCAATTTTACTTCATATTTTGTAAACTAGAAATTAGTTATTCTTTTTTTTTTTTCATCTTTTCCAATAAGAATATCAAGATTCTAATTGTACAATTGACAAATAGCCCTGTCATATTTATAATATATTTAAGTAAACAGCAGGCAGAGATAAACTGTGCCAGTTGCAAGTACATGTATCCACGTAAAGTGCGGTTTAATCACTTATTGATTCATTCAATACAATCTAAGGCAACTGAAGCACTGAAAACGTAAGAAAAATACTGGTGGTATGATCCTAATGGCATAGTCATTTGCTGTGATCAAGTTCCATTATAGCATTCTCATGAGAAATGACTTATAAACAATGCTTTTCTCTGGGAAGATTGAACACTTGGACTTGCATTTTGACATGGAGGAAAAATTGAAATTCAGCCTGTCCTCTGTGAATGGATATAGTCTTTGAAGAACCCACTCAAGGTCTCAGTAACTTGCTAGCCTCTCTAAACTCTTCAATAACATTGTATACCCATTACACATTAAAACATAATACATCTTGTAAACATATATTTATTTTTTAAACTACATAATTTTATACTTTTTAAACTTAGATGTTTATGTACTTTTATATTTATATACTTCTAAAACATCATTTTAGGCTTTTGAATAAAAAGAAGAAAGAAAAAGTCCCTATTTCTTATATTAATTTTAAATAAGTTGTAAAATGTTGCTTACCACTTGCAACATAAATTGAAGATTATGTTAGCTTTAGTGTACCGATAATTTTAATTTTAATAATGACAGGAGGCGAGTATTTTGCATAATCTTTCTTTACTAACTCCATAGCAGCAAAGAAAAGAGTGACAAAACTGAGAACCAATCACAATGCAGTATAGAGTATAAGAGGCGTGACATATGACATCATTTCCTCTTAAAGAATGCGACATCACAAGATCACAATGCAGGATAATAATAGTATTTGGGTTCCGGGGGACGCCGAAGGCGCATGCCACAGAGGAGTCTGCAGATGAGCGGATCCTGACAAACAGGTGTCCCTTGGGCCGCTGAGATGGCTAAACGTACTACGTTGATGGACCGATATGACTTTCCGGCTGTGAACAGAGAGGCTAGGAAATTCATGATGGAGGGAATAGGTGCAGTAAAGGGATTGAGGTCCCGTCCCACACACCAACTTGTCCAGGAGTGCCATGCTGATAAGTAGCACCTCCTCGTTCCTGGTGCTCATGAGTCCCATAGGAGGTCCTCAGTTTCCTGCGATAAGTCCTCGGTTCACCAGGAACCCCCGGAAAGAGTCCAGGCCACCAGGGGAAGTCGTTCCTCTGTGACCAGCGGGTGAGGTAGTCCCAATGGGTTCCTGAGGATGGTCGGAGCATCTGGTAGGAGGAGGTGGTCCCTGATTGATAGTTCCAGAATGTCCGGGAACCATGGCTGGCTCTGCCAAAGTGGCATGATGAGGGTTAGCCTCACTCTCTGTATGCGGATCCGGTGAAGGACCCTCGTTATCATTGCGAAAGATGGGAATGCGTAAACTCTGTATTGTGGCCATTGTTGTAGAAAAGCGTCCGTTGCTAGGCTCTCCGGGTCTGGGAGCCAGCTGAAGTAATCCTTCATCGTCGGTTGTTGCGGGACGCGAATAGATCTAAGATGAAAGGGCACCTCTGTGCATCCAGTATTGTGAAAATATGAGGGTCTAGCTGCCAATCGCTGGCGTCCCACCAGTGACGTGAATACCAGTTCGCCGTCATATTGGCTTCTCCCAGTAGATGTTCTGCCAGCAATGTGATGTTGCGTGGTAGGCAGTAGTCAAAGATCTCTTTCGTGAGTTCCGCCAGTGCCTGGGAACGTGTGCCTCCGAGGCGGTTGATGTATCTTACCGCCGAGACGTTGTCCATACGGAGCAGGATGTAGGAGTTGGATCGTTCCTTCGCCAGGCTGCGAATGGCGGAGGATCTGGTCAAGAGTTCTAGGCAATTGATGTGCATCGAGAGCTCCTGTGATGTCCATACTCCTCCCGTGGAGGAGATCCCGTCCGTTGCTCCCCAGCCTGAACGGCTGGCATCTGATTCCAGCACGAAGTCTGGCTGGTTTTCAAATATGGCCCTGCCGTTCCAGGCCTGCATGCAGTTCAGCCACCAGTGCAGTTCCTCCCGAACCTCGTCCGACATAGATGTGGAGTTTATTATGAATCCGAGGAATTGAATTGATTGAGCCGGGATCATTGCGTACTTGGGGCGGTTGATAATGAAACCTAGAGACTCGAGTAGGTGTACTGTGTAGTTTGTGTGTCTCCTCAGAGTCCCTGCATCCTCGAAGATCAAAATGTCGTCGAGGTAAATGATGCATCTTATACCGTGGGCTCTGAGTTTCGCCACTACTGGCTTCATCATCTTGGTGAAGCACCATGGGGCCGAACGGGTGGCAGGTGAATTAGGTGTCCTGTGCCAGAAGAAACGGAGGTAGGGACGGCTGCTTTTATGTACCGGAATTGTAAGGTACGCATCCTTAAGGTCCAGATGGGTAAATCAGTCGTGGCTTCGAAGCAGGTCCCGGAGAAGGTGGATACATTCCATTTTGAAATGTCGGTATACCACATGAGAATTGAGCTCCCTGAGGTTGATAACAGGGCGAAATTCGCTGGTTTTCTTCCTGACCAGGAAGATATTGCTGTAGAAACCTGTTGGCACCCTTGGAGTGCAGTTCTCGTAGTTCCTAGTCTATGAGACAGGCGTCAGCCCGTGTAGTCTGGATCGGACGTCGTCTCAAACTCTATTTGATAGCCCCGCACTGTTTGGAGGATCCACGTTTTTTAAGATAGGTCTGCCCAGTTCTGGAAAAAAAGAGAAACACGATCTGCGATATGACGGGAGGTTGGAGGCAGGGTAGAATGTTGACTTACCGTTGGAAAATCTTGCATGGGAGCGTCCTCGGCCGCCGCGGCCACGATCTGATCCCCTAAATTGGTGGAATCTATGTCGGGTAGACGAGTCTGGGTAGAACGGTTGAGTCCTTGTTGTGCGGGGGCCTGATGGCCAGAAGCGGCTGTCGGCACGGCCCCTCTGCCGGCCAGCTCTGCCAAAAACACTTTGAGTGTTAGAGCCGCGGAAGACTTTCCGCATCGAAGTTTGCGCCTTGTTAAGGGACGTAAAAATATTGACCCTCTTATTCAACTCTTTAAGGAAGGCTTCTCCGAACAATTTACCCTGTGCCGAGGGGCCTAATTCTTTATCCCCCAGTTCGACAAGTTTGTCGTCTAAACGGTAAAGTGCTGCTTGGCGTCTCTCCGAATAGAGGGTTACGTTGGTGTTCCCGAGGAAACAGAAGCACCTCTGTGCCCATTCTCGGGTATCTCATGCCCACTCACGCACCGTATCTGGGATAAAATCATCAGCCCTCTCATAGGCGTCATCCGCCATGTCCATAATTCTTGCTAACGGCCCAATGGCGTCTAGCAGTTTGTCCTGCGCTCCTTTAAAACTGCGCTCTATGCCCTTGCGTGGGTCCCGACCCCCCCCCGGGACATGAGTGGGTCAAATTCGGGGGTGTGTGCCACCTTGTCTGGCAGGATAGGCCGAGGGCATTTTTTGATCTCATCCTTTTCCTTATTTCCTTGTCCAGAGATTTTCGGAGCCAGAAGTGCATGATTCTTGCCAAATGTTCGGGTGGTGACCATTCTTCCGAATGGGGGTGCCGAATGTTTCTTGGATCAAACATCTGGAGGCCCGAATTGTCAAGAAAAAATCTCTGTGCCCTCTTGTGGTTTATCCATGGATGTGGCCATGGAGTCCTGGGGCTCACCCAGGGTCTGTTCCCTTATTAAATAAGGGTCAGAGTTGGTCACAGAGTCCCTGTCGGAGTTCTCCTGTTAGGATACCACCGCCTGCCATTCATCCAGCACAGCCAGTGCATGTGTGGGTTCTGCGTCTTCCTCACCTGAGGAAACCTGCGTAGGTTCGTGGGTTGTACGGCTCATGGCTTTTCTGCGTTTAGCAGGGGCTTTTCCTTTAGATTTGCTCGGTGCAGCGGACTCACCCTTCCAGTGGTGTTTAGGCCAGTGGGAGCGTTCTCTGGAAGAGTCAGAGTCTTCAGAGTCCGCTCTATAATGAACCCATTTAGAGATGGGTTTAGGGGTGTCTTGATCTGTCTGGAGCGACTTAGAGGAGGCCTTTTCCATAGCTGTAGCTACAGCTGCTGTGATCATGGCCTGGAGGTCTGAGGGGTTTTGCGATTCATCCATGATCTGGAATTGACACTCGGGGCTCACCCGATGAGTTTTGCATGAGGGCACTTAGGCACAATTAATGGAGAGGCCTGGGGACCAGGGGTGGTACGATATCGGTAATGGTTGACCTTAGAGACCAGTAGGTCATAGTAAGATGATGAGAGGGCTGTGTCACTGGGGCTCACCCAGGTAATCTGAATCCTGCATGAACAGGTCCGCTTAGCAGTACAAGAATGGGGGCTCACCCTGGCCAGAATAAGGGACAACCCAACTGGCTTAAACCAACCCAAGTGCTAGGCACTAACCTGACTTGGTCCAACAGAGTGAAAAGAGGCAGGATACAATAAAAGTCTTACTTTGGATCAAAGTTGGTAGCTGGAGCAGAGGCAGCTGTCTGACAGCAATATCACTTTAAGATGGCCACCGGACTAACAGCCGTTAATTCATGAGTGTAAACAGCCGAACGTGCGCCTGGTAATGCTGGTCGCGAGCCTAGGATTCTTTGGGATAATTTCCTCACTGGAAAGTTAAAAACTCCTGGTACTAGGTAAAAAGGATGGTGATAATAGCAATAAAAGAAGTATATAAAAATTATATTAAAAAAGTAAAATGGCTAACTCACAAACAGAAAGTGTCCAAAATACCTTTATTAAAAGAATACTGTTATATAAAAAACCACAAAGAATCATAGGTGGGGATTATACCACTCAAGCTGTATTCCATGAGCAGTTAGCCTGCTCAATCAAATGTGAGTATAAATGTTCTATACTGTATCTAGCCCCTATTTGGGGCATACTGCACCATTAGTTGTCATTTTTATCTATTTCATATGAACTTCAAGGATTTATTTATATCACATTGAGGAATATACCTTCTATCAAGATTGTACAATCTTCCACAGACAGGTTTTCATTTTGGATTTATCCACCTCATAGAATTTGTACTCTGGACTTTTTAGCTATTGTGTATATGTGTTCTGCTATGTCATATGTGATAGTAGTATACTACCTTTATATTTTGTGGTGCTACCTTTCCTTTATCTATTTCTACTATTTAAGTTATAGGGCCTGTAAGAGAGCCCTATTTTTAGGTGTGCTGCCACCACTTTATTTATTTTTGTTGTGTGTTGTTTAGATAGAGAGCGCTGATCCTTTTTTCTTTACATGTTTAATTATGTCTGTGGTTATGTTTGCCAATCTAAGGCTTAATACCCTATTTCAATCATTTAGTGACATGTTTGTGGTCTGTAAAATGGCATTTGCTAAAATTTAGTGACTACTGGCAGTTTTCAAGCTTAAAAAAAAAAAAATTAGCAAGTCATATTTTTTAAAAAAGACAGATACTCTAACTTTCAGCACCAGAATTTGGTGCACTCAGGATTTTCACCAATAAAAACAAAACATTGCATTTTTCTTGTTAATATTGAAAGCCTAATGTGCACTAAGAAACACGGGGTTAAAACAATGCTTTGATGGTAATTCAATACAGTCTCTCTCCACTCCATCTGGCCTCTAAGGTGTGCAGCTTGAGAGGTACATTTGTACACATGTGGTGGACTTGCCCACAACTCACCTCATTTTGGAAGATGGTACATTGCCTGTATGACACGGTTCTTTTGCAGCCTATTCCAATGGATCTCTGGATCTTTCTCCTCATTAAAGTAAAATAAATCACTTTCAGGAGCAAGCATGTGTTACGATAACTCATGCTGCCTAATTCTAAG